TTCCGGCCGGCATAGCGGCCTTGAAGAACGACGACGGCCTTGTTCGGCTTGAGAAACTTCACCATTGTCGGATTTCTCGCTCTCTGTGTTTCCCCTTCACGTCGGCTCCAGCCTCCAACTGATGAAGCATATATTTAGGGTTAGGGTTTTAGCCCTTTTATGGGCTGAGTTAAATACTGAACTGGGCCAAGTTAAATGGGCTTTCGTACTCAACTGGACTGTCATTTCGGCCATCTAATCGAGTAGTTACTAATGCTAGTTTTTTTTTCCCTTTTTTCGTTTTTTAGTATAACAAAAAAGGTGTCGATCCAAACTCGCGATTTTTAATGAGGTAATTGATATTGAGCTATACCCGTATGAAACTTTAATAGTAAAGTTGTGGATGGAGAGTTGGTTGTTTGGTTGTCTTCCATTCTAGCCTTTTAGTGTCCCAATTTTTTAAAGTCTCTTTTCTCTATCGGCTAAAAAAAATTAAATAAAAAAATTAAATCGTTAAATTATATCCGTATTAGTTCAATGGAAATTAACACTATCTCTAATTAAGAGGTCATAAGTTCGGATGTCCCACCTCCCCTTGTACTAAAAAAAATCATTAAACGTTATCCAGTTGACAATTTTAATTAATAAAGGTAAATTTATATTTGTCATAATATTTGCATCATTTTTTATTCGTATCTAGTATTTTAAAATATTTCAATTTGGTCTTTCATTTATTTATTTATTTATATATTAACAAAATCCAAATATATCAACCAATTTGTTATTCTCTCATTAAAAAAAAGTAACATTCATTGGCGAAATAACGATGTGCATGTGCAGTTAAACAAGTTTGGGGTAAAATACATTTAAAATTCTAAGACGGATTGGTTTCTATTTGATTCCTTAATTTTAAAAAAAAAAAATCATTACTTTTGGTCTTTAAAATTTAAAATCAATTTCTGTTTGATTCTTAAGTACCAAAACTGATATATATCCAGTCTTGAAATTTTGAATTTAGTTTTTAATTAATCTATAAATTGAGTCGACCACGGATTGACCTAACGGAATGATTACGTGACAGTAAATATACGTTGATTAGACTTTCTTACTTGTACAAAAGAGAATGAAGAATGTCGTTAGTTAATCAACGATCAACTTAGCTCATGGACCAATTAGAAATCAAATTCAAACTTTATAGACCAAAAGTGTATTTTAGCCAGTAAGTTCTCATTTGCCTGTATTAAAACTCTCTGCAAACAAAAATAATATGTGAATTCAACGACTCAACTCAATAAAAAATTAAATAATAAAAAAAAGATTAGTGTAAGGTACCCACATGAGCATAAATTGACTAAGACATCTATTCTTGAATGAAAGGTCAAAAGTTCGGTTGTTGTTGATCCTTAGTTTTCAAGTTACTCCCCATAATTTAAGTTTACTTTCAATTTGAACCCTACAATTTTGTTAAATTTAACAAATCATCCATGTTGTTGTCATATTGAATATGTGATAATTATTTTACGCGGGAATGAATTTGTAATTTATATTTAGCTAATTATGTTGGCCATCTGTATTGTGATTTAGGTGTGAGTGTACAAAAAAGAAATAGTAAAATAGTGAAAATGGATGGATTTTTTTTTTTTATGGATAAAAAACAATTGAGGAATGATTTGCAAAATCAAACCAAATATTTAGTATGAAATTGAAATTTTTAAACCTATAAAAACAAATTGAAACTAAATTTAGCGTATGGGACTAAAATAAATTTTTAGCGTATGGGACTAAAATAAATTTAGAGACGCATTTGAAATGGACCAAAATTTTAATTTAACCATAACTTTATTATAGTAAAAAATATAAAAGAAACTAACATATTTAACTAAAAAATTAAAAACTATTGATTTTATTTTTATTTCCAACAATACGTGGGTAGAGATTTGAATTTAAGACCCTTTTATTCAACGATATTATATTGACCAATTGTTGACCAATTGAATTATGCTCAATTTGCCTAAAAATAATTGAATTCAACGTGCTACAAAAAGGGGATATATATATATATATCAAAACAATACTTAGAAACTACTAGTTGGATAGTATATTATTATATTCAATGTGAGAAAACTAAAATCAACTATAAATTTAAACCACCATGGGATAGAATATATGTACGAATGCACCACTTATGAAAATAAAAAAAGGTGCAAAACAACATTTTATTTTTATATATAATAAGACTGTAGTCATACCTCAATCGATACATATCTTAAAAAAGAATAATGAATTTAACTCCCCGCCCCACATATTGTAATAAAAAAAATAATAGTGTAAAAATGAATTTACATATATTTTTTCAAATCATTTTATTGCATTACAAGTAATCCATGGAGAATATTTACTTCAATTTATCTAACAGCATTAGTTATTCTTTTTAGTTCAACAAATGTGCTCTCTCAGACTAAAAAAAATCAACAAATATGAAGTAGAATCAAATGTTCAATTTTAGAAAATATAATAGATATCTTGTTTACTGAACTATTTTGAATTGACTCGATAACATCAATAGATGGAATTCAGTTGTAGCTTTTAAAAATAGTTTCAAAAAACATGAACCCAAAATTGTTTTGATATTATAAGCAACCTTCGATAATTGTAGTTTGGTTAAAAACATTTTTTGTTACTGTACTTTTTAATTTAGTCTCTAAACTTTAGTTTGTAACGATTTAGTCTCTGTACTTTCAAATTGATTACAATTTAGTCATTGAATTAACAATTTAGTCATTGTATTTTAAAGTTGGAAACGATTTAGCCCTTATCTAATTTTTTTTTGTTTGTTAAGTTTCTTGTATGTATAGATTGATAAACTAAAGAAAGACTAAATATGTTTATGAATTAGAAAGATTAAATTGTTATATGATACAATTTGACACTTAATTTTAATAAAAAAATTTTACGATAGAGATAAGTTGTTACAAATTTTAAACTACATGACTAAATTGTTATAAGTTAAAAAGTTCATGGATTAAATTGTTATTTTAAGAAAAGTACAAAGACTAAATCGTTATAAACTGAAGTTCATGGACTCAATTATTACTTTAGTAAAAATAGAGGGACCAAATGTATTTTCCAAAACCTTGCGAGCTTTCAATGAGAAAACATATCAGATAACAAATGCAACAGATGCATGCAAAAAGAAAACCCACGAAATGATTTCGAAGGCTAACTATACCGCAAGGACTCAAATTCAGAATAATATAACGCAAAGAATAATAACAAAAACTCCTTCTTGCTCATGTTTCTTGTTTTTTAATAATAATAAAAAAATTGTACAACTCCAATACTCGTGGATTAAATATGGTAGAATAATATTTTTATTTATATTTTGAAACAAATCGAAAACATGAACAACAAATAAAAAACTTGTTTTTGTTATTTCGAAAATTCATACATATTTTTTAGAAATATTTTTAAGTAAATAAGAAATGAGAAACATGAATAGTTGTCAAATACATATATTTTTTTTAATAAAATTGAAAACGAGAAACAAAAAATAGTTACATTATCAAACTAAACATAAACATTGAGATTGCATCATCTTAAGTAACCTCTCTTGGTCCCTACAAATTTTGTTGTTCTTTTTCAGTCAAATACTTTAAATCATAATTTAAAAAAATTAGTGTATTATGATCGAACTTCTAATATCGAGAGGAGGAGAGGAATACATGTCAATTACCTTTTAACTATGCTCGTGTTGACAACTAATCTACTGTGAAATCGATTATTGTGATTCTAACGACCATGTACAACTTTAGAGTTTGATTTTAATGAACGAAATGGATAACTCTTGTCACGAATGTAAAATTATGGAATATACTTTGAGGGCCAAATTTGTAAATGGACTTTTTATTAAATTATAGATTTGAAAGGATATTGACAACTGCTGACATGGAAAATACATATCCGATAAATTCTTATTAAAGAATTACTAATTAGTCCTTGAGCCAAACGAATCAGAAAATTTTCGATTATTTAAAATTGGTCAGAACCCTACGCTTTCGGCCACTCTATATTCGAAGCCAAAAGCACGAAGAACGCACAAAAAACACAACGGGGGAAAAAAAAGTCTCAGCCGCTACGCTTCCGACCCTCCGCCGCCTCCTCCGCCTCCTCCGCCGTCATCTCGACCCCTCCACTTCACCGGTTCAAGGTTCCGTTCTGCCATCACTGAATCGTTATCTCGCTTTCTTTTAGCTTTTTTTTCCCACTATTTCTGTGTTGAAGTATTGGAATGTTGGCGATGAACGATTAATATTGTTTGTTTTCACCTAAAAAGAATTAAGCAGCGCGCTTCGAAGTGTGTGTGGTTAATATGACTATGTTGCTTGCTGTTTTTGGACTTTTCATGTTTATTGAAGTTATTGTTGTCCTGTAATTTGTAATCGAGGCTCTGTTATGGCGTTTAATGGTTACTGAAGTTCGTTTTCCTTTATGAAATGGGTAGGAGTTTTGTGAAGGTTTAAGTGGACAGAATGCAGGCTGCGAGTGGTGCTTCTATGATGGGTTCTCTGCAAGTTGTTGTTTGTGCGAAGGGATCGGCTTTTCCTTCGAAAGGGCCTAGCATCTGTGTGTTTCCACAACCGAAGAAACTGAATATCTTGAAACCTTGTAAATCCTCGAATGTTGAAGCAAGCGCAGTTGCAGGAAGGTCATCTGTCTCTGTCACTGTTCCTGAAATTGGAGGTGAAAACTATTATCTAATTGTCATCAAAGTTATCATTTGTTTGAAAGAAGTCTAGATTTCGCCCCTCTACTAGGAGGAAGAAATTGTGCAAGATTTCTTTTGTTTTTTTAATACCATACAAGCACAATTGATCACTGGGAATGAAAAGAATTTGATTTTGATTGAGTGGTAGAACTTAGCTTAGGTTAACTTCCTCGCCGTTATGCAGGTGGAAGCCACTTGGTAGACCATGAATTGAGTGAAACTGATCCCGAAGTTCGATCTATTATTAACAAAGAAAAGCAGCGACAATTTAAAAGCCTTGAACTTATTGCCTCAGAAAACTTTACATCTCGGGCAGTTATGGAGGCAGTAGGGTCATGTCTCACGAACAAGTATTCAGAAGGATTACCTGGCAAAAGGTGAACTTTCTTCATTTGATGATACTTGGATGTGAATTCAGGTTTTTTTTTTTTTTTTTTTTGGGGAGGGGGGGTTATTGCAAATTAAGATTTTTATTATGCATTTCAGGTATTATGGTGGCAATGAGCATATTGATGAGCTTGAAACACTCTGCCAACAAAGGGCTCTAGCAGCCTTTCATTTGGATGAGAACAAGTGGGGTGTAAATGTTCAACCATTATCTGGATCACCTGCTAACTTTGAGGTTTATACTGCAGTTCTTAGTCCACACGATCGGATCATGGTGAGATGATTGTTTTTTGGTCCCCATATTAAATCAGACAACCATCAACTTTACTAATTTGTGTTAAGTGACTTTAGGGTTTAGACTTACCTCATGGAGGACATTTGTCTCACGGGTTTATGACACCAAAAAGGCGGGTATCAGGCACATCAATTTATTTCGAATCTATGCCTTATCGACTTGATGAGACTACAGGTACTTCCCATGTGGGATAAGGCTTTTGTTATGGTCTCTTTCTCGGTTTATGTATTATAATTAATTAGCAAACTCTTACAGGTATCGTAGATTATGACATGCTTGAAAAAACTGCTAACTTGTTTCGACCAAAGTTAATTATTGCTGGTGCAAGTGCTTATCCACGAGATTTTGACTATCCTCGCATGAGAAAAGTAAGGATTTTAAATCCTGTGTTAAGCATTTTACATTAAGAAGCATTGTTTAGACAATAGGTTCCATTAGTGAATAACTTATTTGATTCGTTCCGGTAGATTGCGGATGCTGTTGGTGCTTTTCTCATGATGGATATGGCTCACATAAGTGGGCTTGTTGCTGCTTCGGTAGTTGCTGATCCTTTTGAATACTGTGATATTGTGACAACGACAACACATAAGGTAAAGGATAATTTTTGTTTTTGTCTATGGGTGCATCATTTTAAGTACCACGTTTTCCTCTAAATTCATTTAATTTTTTAAAAACATAAGAAAGGGGGTATATTCAAGAACCAAACTTATTTACCAGAGTAGATAAAGCCCCCACCGGGATAAAACTACTATAAAAGAAATCTTGAGTCCAAGTTTATGTAATGATTTCTTTCTATCTTGGAAGATACTTCGGTTTATTTTTAGCCATAGAATCCTCAAAAGAAGCTCTAACTTCACAATTCACCAACCACTTTTGTCTTGTCTTTTAACTACCAGCCCGTGGGGTCTTCAAGCAGCCAACCCGAAAGAGAGCAGAGGAATACTAAATTCGTTTCATAGTCATTTACCTATTTTGGAAGCGTTTTTCAGTCTTATCTTGAAACAAGCGTAACTTTATATATCATTTAGGACACGTTTAGATCATCACTCTCAGAAATGCCCTTGTTCTTCGCATTAAAGAAACTGCTTTCTCAACCTGAAATAATTGTCAAAAAATTGTTTGCAGTCTCTGAGAGGTCCAAGAGGTGGCATGATATTTTTCAGGAAGGATCCAATTCTCGGAGTTGACTTAGAATCTGCAATTAATAATGCCGTGTTCCCAGGATTACAGGTTCGTTTGACTGGCCTTGTGTTGTGGTAGCACGTAAAGAAGTGTTCATTCGTTTTGCTAGATACTTCGTCTTCGATTTCTAAACATTGTCAATTTTATGGCTGTTGGGCAGGGTGGTCCTCATAATCATACAATTGGGGGACTTGCTGTCTGCTTGAAGCATGCACAATCCCCAGAATTTAGGGTCTATCAGAATAAGGTACTGCACTTCCTCAATGAGAACATGTGGTGTAAGACACTGTTTTCTTATTTTCTAACAGAGCATTTTCATACTCTTAGGTCGTCTCCAACTGTAGAGCTCTTGCGAGTCGACTTGTCGAGTTAGGTTATAAGCTAGTTTCTGGTGGAAGTGACAATCACCTGGTTCTTGTGGATCTCAGGCCATTGGTAAATTTTTGCGTCTGGATAACAATTTTACGTTTTCTCTCTCCAATAAATTGATGACACCCGGGGATATACTCTAACAACAGGGTATCGATGGGGCGCGGGTGGAGAAAATTCTCGACATGGCCTCGATCACTCTCAACAAGAACTCTGTACCCGGTAATGAAGTGTTCCAATTCCAACAGGCCAATAGTCATATCGAATTTTCTTGAACTAACTCTTAGTTGTTCTATACATAGGTGACAAGAGTGCTCTAGTTCCTGGAGGCATTCGTATCGGATCGCCTGCCATGACCACCCGAGGATTCACCGAGAAAGAATTCATAGCAGTTGCAGACTTCATCCATGAGGGTGTTCAAATAACTCTTAATGCCAAACAACTTGCCCCAGGATCAAAGCTCCAAGAGTTCCTCAAGTTTGTGAAAACCACTGATTTCCCTCTCGTGGATCGAGTTTCAGAGCTTCGCTCAAGAGTTGAAGCACTCACAACTCAATTTCCAATACCAGGTCTGTAAGTCTGAGTTTCACTCCATATAGGGAAATGGGTATAAGCTTACAATAAAAATTCTGACAAAAAAAGGGGACCTTTTGTTGATTGTAGTAATAAAAACCACATAGTTTGTAACTTTTTATTTATAAGCTGTTGCTGCAGCAATGAGGCTTTTGCTTAGATTCCTTTTTCTAGATTTTATTTTTATATTTTCTTCCTGTCTGTTACACTTACTATTTGGATGTGTTCTCTGAAAAATGGATTTTGAAAAATGTTTTTTGTAAATTGAAATCGCTAGAATTCATTTGTATGATAGATAGACTTTCTTTCTTTTTTTTTTTTCCAGCTAGAACTTATTACTGATTTTTTTTTTTTTGCTTTCAAATAAACATTATGTAATAATACCATTGCGAATGAATAATTTACATGTTAGTAATTTTTACACTAATAGATTTTCATTTGAAAATTTGTTGAAAATTTTTTTATATGTCAAAATGAACTATAAAGTATATATTTAGTGGGAGAATAATAAGATTTTGACAAAAATGACTTTAAAGGGTTTTTTTTCTAAGTTTAGTAGGTTTTGAGAAATTATTTAATTCTTGATGTTGTGCAAATTTTGATTTTCTTTAAGTTAGTCAATTTAGAGTTTTTAATTTCTTTTGGTTAAATTTAAGGACAATGCTAATTACTATGAGCTATAAAATATTTCAATTTTAATTTATCATTTTAAATGGATAAAAAATCTCAATTTTTATCAAATACAATGACGGTATTACAAAATTATATTTTAATATTGTGTTGAAGAATACAATTTGTTTATTTATTTGTGTTTGAATGAAAATCACATAGCTAGGAAGGAGGGCCCGGCCTAGCCATTATTTTTATATATGTAACATTTTCAATTCAAATAATTTAGAAATTGAAGTTAGAGATGAAATTTTTAAACCTAAGTATATGTATACATATTTTGTAAAGTTTTTAAAATTAAGGTTAAATTAGAAGAGCGAGCAAATCAACTTTTAACACGTCAAATATTTTATAAAAATAATAAATGTTATATGTGAGATTTTTTTAGAATAAATAACATACCAGTCCACTTGTCAATTGTCACTAGGGAGTGGGTTAAGTTAATCTAATAGCAACTTGTGAGTCCTAACCCATTAGGTGAGATATATTAGTTCATTCATAAATTTCGTGTGCATTAAAAATACAAGAACTTTCAGCATTAGATATCAAATACAAGAGTGAGATAATTGAAATATATGATTGCTATCATATTCATATTTGCTAACTATAAACCTATATGAATTAACCGACCATTGCACCACTCAATAAAAATAATTTAGTATAAGTAAATCTCAACCCTGATATTTGTTACCAGTCCCAAATTATAAACTCTCTGACAACTAGATTGATGTGTATGTGATGGGTCTAGCTCACCGTGTCTTCAAATTTTGATAACAACCTAAATATGCACTTTCAATCTAGAACCTACCTTATAAAAAAGGCAAATTTTAAATCTTCAATCTCATCCTTTGAGACTCATCATAATAAAATAGATGCCAAAATATGGTTTAGTCCTACTTTTAGTTTTAGTTCTAGTTCGTTGTATTTCCAACTTTGGTTCATTTTATTCCATTTAACTTCAAAATGTTAATTTACTTTTAAAAGTGACCATCTTGGTCAATTAATTTTTATTTTTTAATCTGATTTATTAATTACAATTTCAACGCAACGTTACAACCAATATATTTCTTAAAATGTAAACATTACTTTATACTAAAGAGTTCCCGTTTTGTGTAAAATTTGTGTTAAAAATTTTAAAAAGAGAGATTAAAATGATCTTTTCTTGAAAAAGTAAGTGACAAAATTAACATTTTTAAAGTCCGTACACTAAAACGAACAAGATTATCAAAATAAAAATGAACATTTTAAGAGTATATTTCCGAAACCAACATAATATTTTAGCCTAAAATAAAAAATAGAGACTAAAATATTTGATAGAATCATAAACGAAAAAGACACTCCAAACCCGATATTTTGTTTCGTCTCTAATATTTTTCTCAACTATCAAAATGGATCGCTCCTAATCCAAAAGAATATCCTCAGTAGCGTAGCACTCACTCAAACACATTACATCACACCACCGAAAGTCCTCCACGTGTCCCACTCTTGTCCGGATTTGTCTCACTAAGCACGTGCCTTCCGCGAGCGCAAAA